TAGTGTTAGTTTGCTCAGGGTGTTAGGTATCCAGGCCCCATTATGGATAAATGTGGGTCCCTGAAGTCACTTGAAATGCTCACAGTACAGGTGTCCTGAGGCCGACGTCCCCTGACTATGCGTCACTGGTCCTGCAATCATTGAGTACCTGCTGTGTACACTGTGCTGGAGACAGAGCTGGCAGGAAAAAGATGCAGCACCGTTCTTGTGGGATACAAAGCATCAGGAAGTGTCCCCGGGTGGAGGCTAGCAAGTGTTGGAGGTTGAAAATTAGGATAGTCAGGGGATGCCTGTGTGAGGAGCCCGGCCTGTGGAGATCTGGGGGATACTGCACCGAGTGGGCAGAATGGCGAGTACCAAGGTCCTGGGGTCACAGCAGGCCCCAGTGTTTGAAGATCACTCCTGGAAGTGTTATGGGGGTCGGGGGAGCGTCTGTGGAAACTGGTCTCTACATTAGAATATGCCAGAGTCCCCGTCACCTGCGAGGACCAGGGCAGGGTCCAGCCTCTTCTGCAACAGCAGGTTAATAATCAATGCGTCTACTGCACTGGTCTGTGCTGCTGTCCTCTGCACTGCTGGGGCGGTGGAGTCTCTACTCTGCCTGAGGCTGCATGTAATCCTGGGACTGGAGATTAGGAGACTCGCTGGAGGGGTACCTGGAGGAAGAGGCTGTGCCCAGCTTAGCTTGGAGGTGGAAAGGCTGGTGTCAGGGCAGGGAAGGCCGGTTGACGGCTAAGGTCAGGTTAGGGCTTGGAGCAGGCTGGGAAATGCCTGGGGTTTCAGGTCTGCAGGTGTCAAATACTGAGAGCCCAGGAGACACAGGGTACCCCGAGAGAGGGGGCAGCAGACAGGTGGATTGGGTAGCCCCACGCCGGAGGCCTCAGTGGGGGAAGGGCTGCCGGGTCTCCTCACCCGCCCTGGTGACCACCCCTCCCCTCTTGGCCAAGGTCACCATCAGCATTTTCCTTTCATTCAGCCGCAGGAATGTTCTGGGCGCTGGGCTCCACGCCTGACCAGCTTGATCCCTCGAATTTCTGTCCTGCTGGACACTGGAGCTGCCCAGGCTGTGGAGGGATAAGCATGAACAACAGCGCCCCTCCGCCCCTCCCCTTCTCCTATCCCTGCCAGATCCACCCTGTCCGCTGGGTGACCTTGGGCCTGTTGCATAACCTCTCTGGGCCTTGCAAAAACAAAACTGGAAGCCAAGGCTTGGGCTCGGCTGTCACTGGATTCCCATTATCTCATCTGGAGCTGAATTATCTCAGGAGCTAGGAGACGACGCCCTCCCTGGTCCTCAGCCACCCACACACATCAACGAAGGAGCCGATCCCCCCCCCAAGTGCTTTAAAATTATCCCCAGGAGGTGCGGCTCCTTGAGCTGCGGGGTGAGTGGGCATAGGGCGCTCTGTAAACAGCTCTGAGCTGGTGCCCGCTGTCCCCAGAGGCACCAAGAGAGGCTTGAGACCACAAGTCACCTGTCTGGGGACACACAGCGTCTCTCTAAAGTCAGCGTCTCGGTGGGTGTAAGACCTTTGGAGAGACGGCCTCTGTTTGGCATTTCCCAGCCCCCACCAGAAGCCGAGGGTCATTCCGTGGGGGCTTCTCTCAGTGTCTTACTGTGTTTCCTCACTCTGTAGCCCAGGCTGGCCTTGAGCTTACTGAAAGCCCTCCCGCCTTGGCTTCCCAAGCGCAGGGATGATGGGCATCGGCCACTGTGCCCAGCTCCTTTTGCACACACACACACACACAAAAGATCAATATTTCTGTTTTTCTTCAAGACAGGGTTTCTCTGTATAGCTCTGGCTGTCCTGGATCTCACTCTGTAGACCAGGCTGGCCTCGAACTCAGAGGTCCACCTGCCTCTGCCTCCCGAGTGCCGGGATTAAAGGCTTTTCGCGTACGTTCCAGCTTATTTTTAGTTTTTGAGATAGGGTCCCACGTAGCCCAGGCTGACCCCAAACTCACCATGTAACTAGGGATGACCTTGAACTGATTCCCCACACCCCAGCCTCCCGCGTGCTAGGGGAACATCCCCCGTCTCAGCCTCAGCCACGATCACTTTACTCTGTATTTTGAGACCAGGTGTCACCGAGTTTTCCAGGCTGGCTTTTAACTCGCTGTGCTCCTGCCTACGTCTCTCTACTGCTGAAGTCACGGGCATGGGCCCTTAGATATGACTTGGGTTTAATGATTTGCATATTTCTCCCCTCTTAACCTTCACTGCCTGGTCCAGACCCTTCCCAGAGACACGCGTGGGCACGCCAAAAACCAAAATGGGAGAAAAGGCAAGCGCCCTCCCACCCTCCAGCACCGCCCCCCAAAAGCTAGGGGAAACCTCGCAGCCCCCTAGCTCTGGGCCGGGGGTGGATGCTCAGCACAGGCCCCGCCTCCACACTCAGGGCCTCGCGTTGCCATGGGGACAGGGAGGTTGCCAGGGCGACCGCCTCCCGCGGGCCGCCATCCATCACCGCAGCGGCGCCCGCGGGTGGGGAGGGGCGCGGGAGGGGCTCAGCTGTACTTGTGACCAGGCGACACAATCTGGGGACGGCAGGGACAGAGGGATGGAAGCCGTCTTCTTGGGACGACTGAGAACACTGTTTCTGTGTCGGCTGGCTGTGCCCGCCTGACTTGCGTCCGCTCTGGCCGGGGGACAGGCCGTCCAGCCCAGGACACTGACTGCCTTGTCTCTACCCACCCACCAGCCGCACAGCTGTGCCTGGGCCCGGCCTGCATGGCCATCTGACTCTTTGGTGGGGGGAATAACTGGGTGGGCAGCTCCGCACGGCCCCCTTCCCCCTGAGGGTCTTTAATCTTTTGGATTTTATTTTTAAACAGAGCCTCAGTACGTAGCTCTAGCGGTCTGGGAGCTCACTCTGCAGCCTCCTGCTGCCTCCGGGGTGCTGGGATTAGAGATGTGCGCCACCGCGCCCGGGGCCCTGGGTGTCTTGGCTGCCGAAAGGAACCCCTCACCTCTGCTGTCTTCCTGGAATGGAGGAGGCAATGTGGGGTGGCCTCTGGTGCACAGGAGCAGCCCACGAGTGTAGGCTCAGAGCTCTAGATGTTAGCATTCGGCCTTGGAGAAAGCTCACCAGACTGGAAATGCAAAGGGTCTGGGTAGGCATCTCAGTGGCTGCAACAGACTGAGCGAGGGGGAGCTTGGAGGGGCCGAGAGCAAGCAGGTAGATGTGGGCGAGGCTGCACCAGGTGGGGCTCTCTGGAAGGACGGTGTGAGTGAAGGAGAGAGGGGGGTCCGATTATTGCTGTGAGAGGGTAGTTCGGGTTGTTGGGTGCAGAGGGGCCTGCTGGGAGGCAGAGAGGAGGGAGGGGACAGTGGAGGCCTGGGTGGGGCTGTAAGGAATGAGAGATGGAAGAAGGCAGCCGAGGAGGAGCTCCCGGGGGTGCTGTGCAAGGTCCTCCCAGCCTAGCTGGACGGAGCCTCACCGAGGACAAACGGAAGACAGGAAAAGCCAGGCCCAAAGCTAACCCAGGTGACTCCAGGACTCAGAAGACTGAGGCAGGAGAATGATCCAGGCCTGCATGGGCAATTTAGTGAGGCAGCATCTCAATAAGAAGTAAGGGGCGCCGGGCGGTGGCGGCGCACGCCTTTGACCCCAGCACTCGGGAGGCAGAGGCAGGCGGATCTCTGTGAGTTCGAGGCCAGCCTGGGCTACAGAGGGAGTTCCAGGACAGCCAGGGCTACACAGAGAAACTGTCTGGAAAAACAACCAACCAACCAATAAACAACAAAACAAAACAAAAAAGCCAAGCTGGGTGGTGACTGAGGAATGACACCCAAGATTGGCTTCTGGCATCCACACCTATACATATACATGTGTACACACACACACACACACACACACACACACACACACACACACACACTATGAAATAGGGGCGTGGTCAGGGTGGAGCCCCGCCTAGAACCCCCAGTGAGGGTCTGTGGGCGTGGTCAGGGTGGAGCCCTGCCTAGAACCCCCCAGTGAGGGGCTGGGGGCGTGGTCAGGGTGTGGCCCCGCCCAGAATCCCCAGTGAGGGGCTGGGGGCGTGGTCAGGGTGAGGCCCCGCCCAGAATCCCCAGTGAGGGGCTGGGGGCGTGGTCAGGGTGGAGCCTCTGTTTATCACAGGTTCTGGATTCCATCCCCAGGCCTGTGAAAATAGATAAATCAGTGTGTGCTCCCTCCGCCAGGTCCCTGGGAGGCACTGAGAGGGGAAGGTGCTTCCTGCCAGGAAGGGAGCAGCTGGACAGGGTCACCTGTTGGGGCGTGGGAGCCAGGTCACCTCACAGGCCTCAGTGAGGTCAGGAAACTGAACCCCAAAGTGGGGGGTGGGGAGGTGCCGCTGGCTCCAGGTTGTCTGGACGGACTTGGGTGGAGGCAGTTCACTGGTGGGGGCTGCAGGACCGGTCCTAGGCAGACGTCTCTCCTGCTCCTGAGTTGCAGAGGGAGAAGCTGAGGCCCAGAGAGGTACGGGGATCCTGACCTCAGGCCAAGGGTGTTGAACGTGGCTGTAATTTCAGTCTCTGGAGATAAGGCATCAGGAAAGTGGGGTGGGGGTGCGGGAGGTGACCGAGGCTAACCCTTCCGGCCATCTGCCTCAAGAACGAGGGGAGACGGGCACCGGCTTTGCCGACGCTTTGCTGTGGTCCCTGGGATCTTGGGCTGCTTTGAGACGCCACCCTTCTGTCGTTTAGTTTGCAGGGTTGGGATGTTGACGGGGCTGGGGCATCCTTGATCCTTCCTGTGTCTGGCTTGGTGGAGAGGAGGGTCCTTGGGGGTCGTCCGTCCTGGGAGGTGACACTCCCTCGTTAATTCTGCAGCCTGGTGACCGCCTGTATATCCCTCCTGGCCCCAGCCTCCTAGCACCCTTTCCTACGCCCATCCCACGTGTCTAGGCAGAGCCCCTGAGGGGGTCAGGGGGCCCCACCTGATGGGGGATCGCGGATTAGGGGTGGTCCTGGCTGGCTGGACGCTAAAGGATCTAACTTTGTCTCCTATGTGCAGGGTCCTGGCGACAGACACTGCGTTCCAGCAGGAGCGACTTCAGGCCATCGCAGTGAGTTCCTCCCACTGTGGACCTGGGTCGTGAGTGGGTCGGGCAGGGTGGAGTTCCGGGATTCTTGATGCACAGTCTGGGGCCCAGAACTGGTTGGGTACAGTAGGCAGAGAGTTACCTCGGGGTCCCCAGAAGTGAAACAGGTGGGGAAGACTGAGGCTGGCATTTGTCACAACCTCGGCCCACAGTCTGCTAATGCTCCGTGTCCAGGTCCCCTGGCTGTCTTGGGTCCAGTTCACATGGGTGCTGGGTCTCGTCGGGGTGGGAGTGGTCCTGACCTGGTCTATGCTCGCAGGAGAAGCGCAGAAAGCAGGCAGAGATCGAGAGCAAGCGGAGACAGCTGGAGGATGACCGGAGACAGCTGCAGTACCTCAAGGTGGGGTGGGGTGGGGGCGGGGGGCGGGGTCTGTGGGCACACTCGGGGCTCTGTTTGAGCCTGGTCTTTGGGATGGACCCAGGCCTGTGTGGGCTGTGTCTCTAAAGTGGGTCTGTGTAGTTCTGTCTGGGGCCTGCATGGGACTACTGGCCTGTGTGACCCTTGGAACGGCTGGGACCAAGGTCACTGTAACTCCGGTCACGACCTCCAGCCTGACCCTGGCTGACCACAACCCCGACACCGACCCCATTCATGACCCTAACCTTAATACGCATCCTAACCCTGACTCTGATCCAACCGCGACCCTACCTGGATTCTGAGCTGCTTCCCTGCCTCTCCCCCCCACCCCCCCCCAGTCCAAGACCCTGCGGGAACGCTGGCTGCTGGAGGGGACGCCGTCCTCAGCCTCTGAGGGCGATGAGGATATGAAGAAGCAGATGCAGGATGATGAACAGAAGACTCGGGTCCTGGAGGAGTCCATCGCCAGGTGGGCAGCAGGGGCGGGGGCCCTGTCCGGGTGGATGGGCCTGGGGACCCCACCAGGGATGGGCAGGTGTCACAGTGGACGGAGGTCAGACCCTGCCCCGGGTCCCTCCTGTATCACATCCTGACTCTCGGAGCAGTCCTGTGAGGCCTGGAAAAGCAGGAGTCCCTGAGGAAGGGAGGTCCCGCCACCAGCCCCCCTGAGGGCTTCCTGGCGCCAGCCCAGCTGGCCCTGCGGCCCTAACGGAGACCGCAGAGGCAGCTGGGCCTGCAGGAAGCCGTGAAGGGGTCGGGTCAGGGAGAGTAGCCGTGCCTGTGGGGCTGGAACAAAACACAAGTGTTTCCGGCAGGCGGCTGATGAGGGTCTGGCCTGGGGAAGAGAGGTCGGGGTAGAAGGAAATGGCTAGCTTCTGCATTGCCTGCAAGCAAGGCAGGCCCCCAGGTGATTTCAGCCTGGCCATGGGAGCCCCTGTTTGGGGGTTAGCTGGGGTTTCCCTCTCCACTTGGGGAGCATTTTAAAGATGGCATGAGCCTGTCCTGCCGGCTAAGGGAGCTAAGTGCGTCAGCGGTGTCCCGGGCTTCTGTTTTCCTTCCTGAGAACCAGTCAGGGATCCCGCTGAGTGTTTTCTGAGGTTTTATTTTGGTTTTTGTGTGGCTGGTGGAATCAAGGACTTTAACCAGACTGGACTGGCTCCACCCTGACCACGCCCCCAGACCCTCACTGGGGGATTCTAGGCGGGGCTCCACCCTGACCACGCCCCCAGCCCCTCACTGGGGGATTCTGGGCGGGGCTCCACCCTGACCACGCCCCCAGCCCCTCACTGGGGGGTTCTAGGCAGGGCTCCATCCTGACCACGCCCCAGTCCCTGACTGCCCTGCCCTACCTCTTTTTAAAAATTCTTTGTTAATTTTGCTTTTTTGAACCTGGATCTCTATAGCTCAGACTGACCTGAAACTGGCAGCAATCCTCCTGCAGCGGCCTAGCTAGTACTGGGATGACAGCGGTGTACTACCATCGCCTGGCTCTGCCCTAATTGTTTTTTGGGGATTCGTTTGTACTGAAGTCTTCTGATGCTTGTGACAGTGACATATTTTTTCCATTGTCCCTACAAAGCTAACCGTTCCGGTCAGTTGTGAGCGGGAAAACAGGGAAGCGGGTTTGTTTGAAGCAGCTTAGCACACAGTGGACTCGGCCTGCTGCTGCTTGCTGGCCGAGAGACTCGCAGGCTGACCAAAACGTAGGCCCGGGGAGATGGTTCGGTGGGTAGAGGTGCTTGCTGCCAAGCCGGACGACCTGAGTTCGATCCTCAGAGCTCACAGGGTGACGGCCACACTGCACTGTGGTACAGGTGCACACAGACACTTTGTAATGATAAATAATGTACAAGGAGAGAAAGAAAAGTTAAATTCGCCGGGCGGTGGTGGCGCACACCTTTAATCCCAGCACTCGGGAGGCAGAGGCAGGTGGGTCTCTGTGAGTTCGAGGCCAGCCTGGTCTACAGAGTGAGTTCCAGGACAGCCAGAGCTACACAGAGAAACCCTGTCTTGAAAAACCAAAAAAACAAAACAAAACAAAACAAAAAAGTTAAATTCAAGTGTGGCCTTTTGGCCCACACCTTTAGTCCCAGCACTCAGGAGGTAGAGGCAGGTGGGTCTCTGAGTTTGAGTCCAGCCTGGTCTACAGAGTGAGTTCTGGGACAGACAGGGCTACACAGAGAAAGCCTGTCTTGAAAAAATAAAAACCTAAATTTGGGGAGCCGCTGTATGACCTTTCTCCCTCTAAAGGCTTGAGAAAGAAATCGATGTCCTGGAGTTTGGAGAGTCAGCCCCAGCCGCCCCAAAGGAGAACGCCACAACCCCCAGCCCGGCCCGGCCCCCCTCTGCAAGCCCAGCCAAGGAAGAGCAAAAGTCGGATGCCGTGGTGAATTCTCAGCAGGTGAGAGGCCCCCGGAGCAGCCAGTCCTGTGTTGCTCGGCCCTTCGGGCTTCAGTTTCCGCTGCGTGGAGGCAACTTCCACGCCTGTCCGTTGACAGTTTCGTAGGAGTCTGATGAATTAGTGGACAGTCAGGCCTTGGCCCCAGATGGACCCCACCCTCGGGGTTTCCTTTCTGCCGTTTTTTTTCGTTTTCAGTTTTCTTTCTTTCTTGTGAGGGGGTGGGTGTTGTGCGTTGAATCCAGGACCTGAGTCATGTTTGACAAGTACCCAACACTGGTCCGCATCTTAGCCTAGTATTCATATTTTTGTTTGTTTGGTTGGTTTTGGTTTTTCGAGGCAGGGTTTCTCTCTCTCTAGTTTTGGTGCCTGTCCAAGGTTGTGAGCCACCACCGCCCAGCTAGTATTCGTATTTTTAATTACTTATTTATTATAGTATCCTGGAGTACATGAACGTGCCACGGAGGCCAGAGGACCCTCTGTGGAGTCAGTTCTATCCTTCCAACCTTTATGTGGGTCCCAGGGATTGAACTGGTGTACTGACGCCAAGTGCCTTTGCCCCGAGAACCGCCATCTTGCTGGCCCGAGTTATGGATCTTTTGAGACCACAGCCACTATGTATCTCGGGCCGGCGTGGAACTGTTCTTCCTGCGTCCGCCTCGGCTAGCCTGTGCCACCACCCCTAGCTGTCCACGTTCTTTCTTATTTATTTGTTGTGTGGGTGTGGTGTCTGCGTACACGTGGGTGCGTGCGCATACAGAGGCCAGTACGGGTGTCGTGTTGGTTGATCTCCACGTGTTATTATTATTTTTTAAAGACTGGTGGGCTGATTTTAGAGCCAGGGTCTCACTGTGTAGCCCTGGCTGTCGTAGAACTCACAGAGGCCCTCCTGAGTGTTGAGATTAAAGGCATGAGAAACCACACCTGTCCATAACCCATTTGATGGAGGGAGGACCAGAGTTAGGGGCTGACTGCGGGCCACACAGCTGACTGGAGGGGCGGGGCTGGGGATGAACTCACAGCCTTGTGCATGCTGGGAAAGTGTACTGCTGCTGCCATGGAGTCCTACCCCGGCCCTGGTCTCTTGTATGTTCTCCTGGATTTCGGGGAGACCGAAATGATGTCGGTCTGAGTGCTGGCCCCTGCCTGTTGGGCATGTACATCATCATGGCTCAGAAGGGAGAGCAGACCTATCGTCAGACAATCCCTGGGCAATGGGAGTCACACCCGTCCCCCAAAGCATCTAGCCTCCTGAGGAGGGTGGGCAGGCTTCCCAGAGGGTGAGGGTTTTGAGGGTTCAGCACGAGCTCTCAGGCACAAATGGACAGGTTTTGCTGGAGACCCCATTAGGGGCTGAGCCTGTCTCCCCACGGCTCCCAGCCCCGCAGGCCCGTTCTTCAGCTGGGGATGGAGCTTAGGTCAGTGGAGGCTGAGGGGACAGCCCTAATCCTTCTCCTCTCTCTTGCAGACCCCACTGGGCACCCCGAAAGGTAAGCTTCCATCCGGGACATGCGGCCTCTGGTGCCCTCTGGTGGCCAGAGGCGGGATGGCGGGTGAGTGTGGCGGGGATCAGGAAGCTGGTACCGGCGGAGGCTCTGGGCCAACCTGTCCACATCCACTCTCTGTGACATTGTCCCCAGCCAGATAGCCTCTGGCTAACACCTGTAAAATGTCACGCCTGTCATCCCAGTGCTGAGGGCACCAAGGCGGGAGGACCTGGGCTCGCTGGCTGGCCGGCTCGGCCTAATCAGTGGGCCTCAGGGCTGGGAGGTGGCTCCGTGGTCAGGTGTGCATGCTGCTCTTCAGAGGACCTGAGTTCGGATCCCTGCACCCACGTCAGGCAGCTCACAACAGCCTGTAACTCCAGCCCAGGGGACCTGACTCCGTGAGCACCTGCGTACACACGCACAGACAGACACGTGTACACCTATTGAAATACAATAAACCGAAAAAATGCCCTGCAAGGTAGACACCGACTGCGGAAGACATGGGGTGCCAACCTCGGACTTCTACATGCACATGCACACTCGTGTACACGCCCTCATGATAAGTACATATACCACACACACACTTAAAAAGTAGAGAGATTGCCAGGCGGTGGCGCACAACTTTTATCCCAACACTCGGGAGGCAGAGGCAAGCAGATCTCTGAGTTCAAGGCCAGCCTGGGCTAGATGTCAAGTTCCAAAAATGGAGATATATAAATACCATATATGTATATATATGTCCATCTTATATATAAGTACACTTTTTAAAAACAGAGTCTCATGTGGCCAGGCTGGCTTTAGACTCAGTGTGTAACCCAGGATGACCCTGAACTCCGGATCCTCGGCACTGGGAATGACAGTGCCAGGGATGGGACCAGTGATTCCTGCATGTCAAGTGAGCACTCTGCCCACTGACCCCGAACACAGCCCTATTTATTCATTTATTTTTGAGAAAAGTCTCCATCTACATAGCCCAGGCTGTCCTGGAACTCACTATGTAGACCAGGCTGGCTTTGAACTTAGAGAGATCCCCCTGCCTCTGGCGCGCAGCACCAGGCCAGCCTGGGTCTCTATTTTCTGAGATCTCTATTGAGCATGTGTTTCCTGCCCAGCGCTGCAGGCATGGCTGGCAGTGCGGCCTTAGGACTCTCTGGCCCGATTTGCTGTTAATTATTCATAGGGAGAGTGTCTCCCAGTCTTGCTGTAGAATTAAAAATTAATAATTAAAAGAAAATCCACGCAGGCCTCTCAGGGATTTTGTGAAAGTCATTTTGGTCTGAACAGTGAGAGGTCTGTGGGGCTCAGCTGGGCTAACTATGTAGTGAGGGACCCTGGGCATGCACAGGGCTGGGGATGCAGGTGTGGTATTTGGGTGTAGACTCATGTGTTGGGGTCTGGGGTGCAAGTAAGTGTATGTGTTGGGGTCTGGGGTGCAGGTGCATATATTGGGAGTCTGGGGTACAGGTGCATGTTTTTGGAGTCTGGGGTGCAGGTGCATGTGTTGGGATCTGGGGTGCAGGTGCATATATTGGGAATCTGGGGTACAGGTGCATGTGTTGAGGTCTAGGGTGCAGGTGCATACATTGGGGGTCTATGGTACAGGTGCATGTGTTGGGGTCTGGGGTGCAGATGCATACATTGGGGGTCGGGGTGCAGGTGCATGTGTTGGAGTCTGGAGTGCAGGTGCATGTGTAAGGGGTCTGGGCTGCAGGTGCATACATTGGGGGTCTGGGGTGCAGGTGCATACATTGGGGGTCAGGGTGCAGGTACATATATTGGGGGTTTGGGGTGCAGGTGCATGTGTAAGGGGTCTGGGGTGCAGGTGCATGTGTTGGGAGTCTGAGGGTGAAAGTGAATATATTGGGGTTCTGGCATGTGTATGTGTTGGGGGATCTGATGTTTCAAGTGAGTTAGGGAGTCTAGGGTTCCAGTACATATTCTGGGGAGTCTGGAGTGTTTCGGCCATATTGGGTCTGGCCATGCATGTGGACCAGGTATTTTGGGGGGTCTGGACTCATGCTCATGGAGGGACATTTTGAGGGGATCCTGCGATTCTGTCTCTGACTCCATCTTTTTCTCCACCCCGTGCCCGGTGTAGAAAATCGCATGTCCTCCACGCCGGTGCGGACTCCGGGGGGATCCACCATGATGAAGGCAGGTAGGTCAGACCCCACTCCCCACCCTGGTCTAGCTGCCATCTGAGCCTCTGTCTGGGTCCTGGAGGGTGGGGCTGACAGGGTGGCGTTCACCCAGACCGCGATACCCATCTGCTTTGCTGTGACGCACCCACCGGCCCACGCTTCTCCGAGAAGATGGGCCCAGCATGGGGGCTCTAACCCAGTGCCCAGCAGCTTCCATTCCTAACCTCAGCCTGGGGACCGGGGCTGGCATACAGGCTGAACACGTTCCCACACGCCTGAACACGCTTGTGTCACATCCTGCCTGCTCCAGGGGTCCCGGCATCACACTGACCTCACGTGGGACCTGATGTGTTCCGTATCCAAAACCCAGAAAGATTAGTTGATGACTAGTCTAGACAAAGTCCTGGGGGAGGGAGGACCACAGGAGGACTGGAATTTCTTGCGCAGGGTTCAAGTTCGGGAGGCTAGGGACGTTTCTTAATTCAGAAGGTGCCTTCAGAACCGCCGCCGCTGTGTTAATACCAGATGTGGCCCTCCCACCCCCCATATCTCAGCCAGTGACTTTGTGCAGATCACAGGTTGCCCAAGCCAGTGGGGCTGCCTCGCAAGTAGGTATGTAGGTATAGAGACAGGTGATTAACCGACCACCCGTTGTTCAGTCAACAAACGCTCACGGAGCCGGGCGTGGAAGAGGGGGCGTTGTATTCCGGTGGGTGGAGGGACCGTTCAGTTAACCGCGTGAGGAAAAGGAGGAAATGATTTTCAGGGCCCTGAGGCTGCAGGAAGGATCTCTCTGGACAGCGGGGCTTCCCACCCAGCGGCGTGCTTACCAGTGCCCTCTGGCGGCTGCGTGCAGCGCAGACCTAGGCCCCGGCCACCTCTGGACCAGGGAGACCAAGCCGGGTCCCAGCCTGGGTGGGTGGAGTGCTGCGTGGGTCAGCAAGGGGAAGTTCTAGATGTTTCCGAAGGTGACTTGGAGAGGGCCCCACACTGCAGTGGAGCCCGGGGACCCTGTCTGGCTCAGTGTGAGGTCGGCTGGGATGTAGATGTGGCTGCTGCGGCTTGGCACCGTTCCTGGCGCCCTGAGGAGGCTTGTCGGTGGGGGACATGGTCAGTGCCTGGGCAGGTCAGTGCCTGGGCAGGTCAGTGCCTGGGCAGCTGCTGGTTCGTCTCATGGGGCGGTGGCGGCGGTGGCCGCGCACGCCTTTAACCCAGCACGCCGGAGGCAGAGGCCGGCCGAGCTCTGAGTTCGAGGCCAGGGAGAGTCAGCAGCGCGCGGTGGGCGGAGATGGAAGGACCTTAGCGCGGCCGCGGGTTCTGAGCAGAGCGCGGACTCGAACTCTTGGCGCTGGGAGCTGCGGGAGGCTGTGGAGCGGGGAAGGCCGCGCCCGGCGCCGGGGCACCGCTCCCAGGGTGACTGCCGTCCCTGCTCGGCTCTGCTGCTACCCTTCTTCCTTGGCTTGGCCACAGCCTGGCGGGAGGCGCCTGCGGGTGGACGGGCCGTGGGGTAACCCCGTGCCTCTCGTGCCAGCCATGTACTCGGTGGAGATCACGGTGGAGAAGGACAAGGTGACCGGGGAGACCAGGGTGCTGTCCAGCACCACACTGCTCCCCCGGGACCCACTGCCTCAGGGCGTCAAAGTCTACGAGGACGAAACGAAAGGTATGAGAAGCCCAGCCCTGCCTCCCGGCCCTGCTGAGCACTGAGGTGGAATCTAGACGCAGGTTCAGCCATCGCCAAGCTCAGACCTGCCGCCCAGAGAGCGGGGGTGAGGAGGGAGCCGCTCAGAGACCCGCGGCTGCACAGCCAGGGAAGGGGGCGGCGCCCCGGGTAGCAGCCACGGCTGGTGCAAAGGCCCTGGGGTCCGCAGAGGGGGATACTGAAAGGAAGGACTGTGAGCCACAGGGGAGCAGAGACCGTGCCCGGAAGGGTGGTCTGGCTGGAGGGGTGCTGGGAGGTTTGGAGGAGATCGGATTTTCATGTGTCTGTGGTGCTGGAGACGGAGATCAAGGCCTCCAGAAGGCTAGAGAAGGCTAAGGACTAAGGCAGCTCCAAACCCTCCCGGCATTCTGGGCGGGGCTCCACCCTGACCACGCCCCCAGCCCCTCACTGGGGATTCTGGGCGGGGCTCCACTCTGACCACGCCCCCAGCCCCTCACTGGGGATTCTGGGCGGGGCTCCACCCTGACCACGCCCCCAGCCCCTCACTGGGGATTCTAGGCGGGGCTCCACCCTGACCACGCCCCCAGACCCTCACTGGGGGATTCTAGGCGGGGCTCCACCCTGACCACGCCCCCAGCCCCTCACTGGGGATTCTGGGCGGGGCTCCCCTGACCACGCCCCCAGCCCCTCACTGGGGATTCTGGGCGGGGCTCCACCCTGACCACGCCCCCAGCCTTCACTGTTGGATTCTAGGCGGGGCTCCACCCTGACCACGCCCCCAGCCTTCACTGTTGGATTCTAGGCGGGGCTCCACCCTGACCACGCCCCCAGGCTTCACTGTTGGGTTCTAGGCTGTTATTCCCAGTTTTTCTGGGTGGTTTTAGAGGTGTTTTCCAGGTCTATGCTGTGGGGAAGTCGTCTTGAGGAAGCCAGGGTCCATCTAATCAGAGATGATTTTAGCAGGACCCATAAAGTCAAACTGGTCCCCACCCCGTCCTCTTTTTAAGAAATAAATACGTATCCCGTAATTCTCCTTTTTACAGTCTGTGGTTTATGAGGTTTGTTCCTTGGTGTACAATACTTTACCTGCTTTCAGAGCATTATCCCAAAGGAAGCCACCATCACCCATGCATCTACTTCCTGTCTCGGGATGGGACTATTTTGAGCATTTCCCATCATGGAGTCCCAGGCTGTGTGACCTTTTGTGTCTGGGTCTCTCTCTGAGCAGTGTCCTGAGGGTCCCTCCACGCTATGATGTGTGTCAGAGCCTCGCTCCTTTTCATGGCTGTGTGATACTCCAGCATGTGGAGCGACCGTGCTGTGTGTGTTTGGTACCAGGCATGTTTTTGTGTGAACACACGCCCATGTCTCGGGCGTGACTGGAGCAGGGCTGGCTGGCCCCGATGGATGTGACTCTGTTTATGAAGGACACTGAGTCTGGTATCTCTTGTTGCTCTGTTCCACTCCCAAAGTGGCTGCACACATCTCACCCTCTGCCATTCCACCATCTCTGCAGTCTCTCTGGGGACCCAGAACCAGCTCGACTGGACCCCGGTTGCTTAGCAACAGCAGGGGATCTGTTTCTTTGGAGACTGGTGGAGTCTCATCTCAAGAGCCCAGGCCCATGGGAGAAATTTGACCCCACCCTGTTCACCCCAATATCACCAGGAGGCCAGACACGGGGGCTCCTCTTCCCGGGGTGGGAAGCTGACATCTGGAGGTGGTAGCCCTGACCCTTCCCTGGATCCCTGGGGCTACTCTGTCTCCTCCCCTGCCGTCTAGGATTCCGGAGGGGTTTGCCAGGCTGAAGCCCGGGTGTGTTTGGGGCTGTAGACAGTCGATCCCCTCGGTGAGGAGACACTGTCTTACGTAGTGACAGCCAGGTCTGCCAGTGCACACCTATCATCCCAGCACTCAGGAAGCTGAGGCCAGGAGAATTGCTGCTACCTGACTCTTGAGCTCGTGGCAGTCCTCCTGCCTCAGTCTCTCTGAGCTCTGGAACGACAGGCATGCACCGCAAGAGCTGACTGTCACAGTGGGCGTCTTCCACAGCCTCCCGGCTCTGCCCTTGCGTCCCCCAGCTAACTCTCTCTGTGTGTCCCCACACAGTGGTGCATGCCGTGGACGGCATTGCTGAGAACGGAATCCAGCCACTAAGCTCCTCCGAAGTGGACGAACTCATTCACAAGGCCGATGAGGTCACACTGAGCGAGGCAGGGTCCACAGCTGGACCAGCAGAGCCTCGGGGACTCACAGAGGAGGCCACCAGGACCACACCTTCAAGGAGGGAGATCACAGGAGTTGAGGCTCAGCCCGGAGAGGCCACATCAGGCCCGCCAGGCATCCAGCCCGGTCAGGAGCCCCCGGTTACCATGGTCTTCATGGGTTATCAGAATGTGGAAGACGAAGCCGAGACCAAGAAGGTGCTGGGCCTCCAGGACACCATCAAGGCTGAGCTGGTGGTGATCGAAGACGCCGCCACCCCCAGGGAGCCCGCGCCACTGAACGGCAGTGCGGCTGAACTCCCAGACGCCAAGGAAGAAAACCAGACGGGGCCCTCGGCCACCCCCAGCGATGCCCAGGATCTTGACATGAAGAAGCCTCGCTGTAGATGCTGCTCTGTCATGTGAGCCGTCGGGGCGCCCAAGTCCCCGATCCCCGTCCTACGCTTCACACTCCGCCCAGCAGCCCGGCCCTCCCCGGCGCCTGCCCACCCTCACCCTCCGCCTCACAGGCCCCAGACACACGTGTGGTCCCTATGCACCTCGAGTCGAGGGTGGGGGGTGCTCTGCCCGTCACCACACTCCACACTCACCCGAACCTCTGAGCCGTGCATCTTCCCTTGGTGAGAGACAGGCCGACCCATCTCAGATCCCCTAAGAATGGGGACCCCCCCACTCCAGGTCACAGCAGGTTTACACAGGCGCTCACGCCCATCGTGGTCTCAGCCTGGTGTCCGCTTGCCACCCCAGGCCAGCCTGTCTGTGCCTTATTGCTACTTTTGGGGAGTCTCCAAGGGGACCAAAAGAGAGGGTCTCCCTGGCCAGTGCGCCAGTGGCCTCATGTGGGCAGGCGGGGTGAGGCCACACTTCTTTGGAGACTCAAAGTCTCCAAGTCCTAGGGTGGAGGACGGGCACCTGTGGATTCCCCCCAGTAAGTAGCGGAGCTCACAATGGGGTAGCCCTTCACTGGGGATGGAAACATCACCCCCAAGATGGGGTCATTGTTGGCAAGGCCCCAAGTCAGCCACTCCCTGTCCTGGGTCCCCCCTACCATGCACACACTGGGCCCTTCTTCCTGGTGCTAATTTTGGGACCCTTGGAGTCACCTCTGCCCTCTTTAGTTGGCTTGGACCAGGGTCCTGGGTTTCCCACATACCCTGTACCCCAGAAGTCGGGGGTACGTCTGCCAGCGCTGCGGAGCCTAGCGTTTCTAGGCAGGTTTAGGTTGCCCCACACACGCCTTGGGTGGGAGTGAGGGAATCCCCCCTCTGCCGCCTGGCTGGACAGGAACCGTGGCAGGGGGACACCCACCTGTGGGCAGGCGGCAGCAGCCGCCTTGGTCCCAGAGGCGCTGCCCTGCACTCAGCAGGCGCAGGTTCAGCCCGCTCCGCCCTCGCTGGCCTCGGAGGACCACGCCCCGTCCACGTCCCTTCCCTGGGACTCCAGCCTGGTGTGCAGGGTGCAGGACCACCTGTGGGGCCCTGTCACCACCCGCAGCTGCAGTAGGGCACGCAGAGGCCACGGAGTCTGTGTCCTGTCCTTCCTGTGGCCTGGAGGAGAGGCGCTCTTCCCCGAGGGGTGGCCCGTGGCCACGGCCATGGTCACGGCGCCCCTACCTCTTCCTCCTCTGAGTCTGCCTGAGTCCCTGGAGCCCTGAGCCTCAGCTGAAGTGCCCTTGCTGCCCTTTCTGCTTTTGATGTGTGACGAGGCCCCACCCCTCACTCCCATGTTCTTGACTTTCCCAGAGAAATAAATTAAACAGAAAAAGTGTGCAAATGTGCAGAGCCAGGTCGACGTAGTTCTTGGGTTTCATCTGGGCGGGAAAGGGGTGCGGCCACCGGGCGAGGAGGGCGGCCTCCCGGCGGTGGAGCCATAAAAAGCCAGGCCCAGCAGGCCACGGGAGAACGCCTATCCTCTGTGGCCACTGCACCCCTCAGGGTGAACCCCTCACTGTGGATCTTCCCCAGGACTCTGCGGCACCCGGACAGGTGAGGGCCAGCTGTGGGCAGCCACCCCGAGGGCTTCGGTCTTCCCATCCGCCACACCCATGTCCTTGGGCTGCGAGGTCGGGGATAGAGAGGTCCCCGCAGACACTCCCAGCTCTGAGCTAGGTCCTCAGGCACAGTGGAGACCCCATTTCTTTCTGTGGTATTTGGGAAATTTTTCTCCTTTGGCCTCAGTTTCCCTGTCTGTATAGAAGAGCTGACTGGGAGCCCTGTGTCCCCAGCATACTGGGTATTCCAGGCTTGAGTAAAGTCTAACCCAAGCTGGCCTCAGACTCGCAGCTATCCTCCTGCTTCGGTTTCCTGAGTGCGGAGGTGTCAGGTGTGTGGGTTCAATCTGGGGCCCCTTTGAGACTCAGTTTCCCTGTGAAAGGTGGTTTGTGTCTAAGTTGTGGGGAGAGGGTTACTGATTCAGATCCCACCTGACCTGTGGGATTGGATGTGCCCTCCATTTCAATGTCCACTTCTGCTAAACAGGGGTGAAGGGGTCCGAAGGGGCACCCCACACCCTGGCTTTGACCCTCTCCACAGTACTGTGTGGTAGATGGGCTCTGTTACCACGTCCGTCAAGTCCCCTTGGAGTCACAGCTGGGACTACTGACTGGCAGGAAGAAAAGCCAGCCCTGGGGGCAGGTCGGGACTCCCAGCACCGTGTCCTCGGGTCCCACAGACCATGGGCTGCCAGCGCCCCTTGGACCCCGAGGGGGATGGTGGGTGCCTTGGCCATCGCCGCCAGCTTCTCATTGGGACGGGGTGTAAGCTTCACCTGTCTGACCAGTGCTCCTGGGCATTTATTTTATTTGTTTGAGTTTTGGAGACAATGTCTCACTCTGTGGCCAAGACTGGCCTCAGACTAATAGCAATCCCACGGCCTCAGCCTCCTGAGTGAGAGCTGGGATGGCAGGCCTGTTTCTCTGTACCTGGTTTCGCTGGGTATTTCAGAAGGCTTCATATTTCATGGGAACTTTTGTGTGAATATGAGCTGGAGAATTCCCATTTCCTGGATGAGAAAACAAGGTGCAGAGGATTGGGCTGGATACAGTTCGACGCCCCGCTGACCCCTCCCAGAGAACAGCGACCTGAGACCTTCACCCTGAGTTTCACAATTCCAGCCATGGCGCATTCGAGGCTGGAAACAGCCACGTGTGTCCTTCATTCTCGCTACATCAAAGGGGGCGTCCACTGGAAGAGGCAGACATTCAAAGGGGTCCCACAAGCCAGCCCAGGCTTGGGATTCAGTCTCCTCATTCCACGGGAGCAACAGGCTTTTGTGCGACCCTGGGCAGAGGTAGCCCTCCATCAGCAGGACTGAGAAAGGTGGGGTAGCCAGGCAGAGGCTCAGTTCCGGCTCTGTGGGGCCAAGGCCCGCAGCGGGCACGGTGCCCGCCCTTGTCGGCCCGAGTATCATTTTTCTGTCTTCTCTGGACTTTGTTTCCCGTGTCTGGGTGGGGACGGGGAGGAGGGGCACACCTGCTCCAGGGTGAGGCTTCTGTCCCCTTGGCAACATGTGGCCAGGGCGGAGCCCAGGGGGCCTCCCTGCAGAGGACAGAGCCTGAGGCTGGGAGGCAGCCTGGGCACCTGGAGCTGGCAGGTGAGGCTGGGGAAGCAGGGAGGCCAGAGTGGGGAGAGGGGAGGAACTGTTTGCCGTGTGCCGACTCGCAGAGTTGGTTCATCTACAGGGAGTCCCAGGAAAAAACCCCGGCCCCCCAGTCTATACCTCCACCACCCTTGGCCCTGGCTGGGGCCCATGTTGTCCTCCTGGATCTGAGAACATGCTGTCTCCTGCTAATCCAAACTAACTCCTGGGCCTATGTGGATAGGACTTTCATCTGCACCCCAAACGCCAGAACCCTAAACCCCAGATCACCGAGAAAGAGACTAGAACCACAGACACCCTCATAGCCAGAGTCTGTGAGACCCCATGGATTCAGGGCCTGGTGTGAAGAAAATGCAGGAGCCATGGTCTGTCTCCTGTTCCGGCTCAGGCCGGTTTAGGATATAGGATCAGAGGTCAGTCTTGGACTGGTTTCCCCAGAGCCAGCTATCCAGGCCACAAGAAGGCCAGAGCTGGCCCTGAGGGACAGGACAGAGGACTCCTAAGGACACCATCCTACTGGGTGACCCACTGCCCCACCAAGGAGCCTTTGCCCTGTGGGAAGGAGGCCAGAGCCCGCCCGCAGGTGTGCCTGCAGGGACCGTAAAGCCAGTTTCTATGGGGAGTCACAGTTCCAGGGTGCGGCCGGGTGGAGCAGGCTTCCTGGAAGAGGAGGTCATGGTTGGGAAAGAACGGGCTTTGGAAAGCACTCCATCATCCCTGTGTGTGAACTTCCAGCTTTACCTCTGTTCCCTCCGGGGCAGAGACAAAACTGACCCCCTTGTCCTCGTCCTCTGGGCCCTGAATAGAACATTGATGTGTGAGGTAATTGATGGACAAGGACTAACAACAGACCCCTGTGGGGAGCTGGAGGTCTTCAAGGGGCCCTTTGTCCCCACCACGGCTTCTGCAGACTGGCCGCCAACTCCCCTCTCCCCAGCTCTATGCACTGGCCCTTCGGAGACCCTAAGACCCCTGCTGGATTTGGGATTCCGTTCATCAGATCTCCAGCCACTGTGAATCACCTCTTGAGTGCTTGCTGAATGCCAGGCACCGGGAGCTAAATTAGGTTTTGTTGTTGCTGCTGATATTGTTTTTGTTTTTTGAGACAGGGTCTCTCTATGTAGCCCTGGCTGGCCTAGAACTCACAGAGATCCTCCAGCCTCTGTATCTCAAGTGCCGGGGTTAAAGGAGCAGGCCAGTACACCCAGCAGAACTCAGATTTATAGCCCCTTGGCAAGGTTGTCCTACCAGCCCAGCCCATAACAGAAAGGGTTGAATCCCGACCCAGAGCTCACCCTCTGACCTGAACTGAATCACTGGAAAAGAATGAGGCCCCCACCCGAGGGAGGGATGACATCCTTCTCTAGAGGTCATGTCTGTCTGTCCATGACCAGGGCCATAAAATACTGTGTACACATCGGTCAGCGTACAAAGGTGGGTGCACGACAGCTCTGGGGTAGAGGAGGGGAGACAGCACCCAGGGACAGCCGCGTTCATTGACAGTCTTTATTTTATTTTTTTTTATTTGTTTGTTTGTTTATTTATTTTTGATTTTTCGGGACAGGGTTTCTCTGTGTAGCTTTGGAGCCTGTCCTGGATCTCACTCTGTAGCCCAGGCTGGCCTGGAACTCACAGAGATCCGCCTGGCTCTGCCTCCCGAGCGCTGGGACTAAAGGCGTGCGCCACCACCGCCAGTCTTTATTAAGTGCTTGCTGTATGAATTAGAAATAGCCACCCACACAGAATGGAATCACCCCATTCTCCGAGTCTCTGTGAAGGAGAGCAGCACAGGGATTGCCCTCCACAGGAGGATTGCTAGGAGTGCTAGAAAAGCCTGGCTGAGGACAGGGCTCAGGGGTGGAGCCCCGCCCAGAATCCCCCAGTGAGGGGCTGGGGGCGTGGTCAGGGTGGAGCCCCGCCTAGAATCCCCAGTGAGGGCTGGGGGCGTGGTCAGGGTGGAGCCTCACCTAGAATCCCCCAGAGAGGGGCTGGGGGCGTGGTCAGGGTGGAGCCCCGCCCAGAATCCCCCAGAGAGTGACTGGGGCGTGGCCGGGGTGGAGCCCCGCCCAGAATCCCCCAGTGAGGGGGATGGGGGCGTGGTCAGGTGGAGCCCCGCCCAGAATCCCCCAGAGAGGGGCTGGGGCGCAGGTCACCTGTGCACACTGAGCTTGGTGACGCTCTGGACTGTGCGGTCGGGTTGTGGCCTTGAGCACTGAGCGCAGCTGCTGACTCCAGGAGACTGAAGAAACGAAAGCGAGAGCAGGTGTGAGCGCCAGGGAAGGAGCTGGGGGAAAGGCTGAACCCCAGGTACCAGGTCAAGGTGGTACGGCTCTGAGCCCAGCCCAGGTCCAGGGACAAGGTCCAAGGCACTCCCAATTCTTCTTGGTTTTGTGGTGCTGAAGCAGGTGCTGTGGAGGTGGTACCAGGTGCTCTTTGGGGCAGAGACCCCAGGTGTGTAAGCTGGGAAATGGACTTTGCCACATTCCCTGTGCCTCGGTTTCCCCACATGTCATCATCAGTCTCCAAGAACCAGAGCCCAACGGCTGTCTGTGAAGGTCAGGTGCAAAGACAGCAAATAAGTTTCCATCTGGGAATTAGTGTGAGGGATGAGGGATGTGCCCTAGAGAGGGAGAAGGTAGCCATGGCGGGAAACCTGCGCAGTCTCAGATGTGAGGCTGACCTTGATTCGGGTTGCTGAAGACAGGGTAAGGTCAGGCAGGATGGAGCAGCCACTCAGCTCGCGGGATGTTTAGGTGAGTGTGTGGCTGTGTCTGCAAGAATCAGCGGGTAGCTGGGTGTGGTGGCACATGCCTGTTAGCCCTGCAGTCGGGTGGCTGAGGCAGGAGGATTGTTACGAGTTCTGACCCAGCCTGGGCTACAGAGTGAGGGCGTGTCTCAGGAAGAAAGAGAGGGAATAAAGACATCAGGCAGGAAAACATGAATTTGTTGTATGAGGCAAGTACTCAGGAATTCAGGTCCAGTTTGGTCTAGGAGCTCAGAGGTTTGGGGGCGATGCTGGGGTTGGGATTGCTTTCAAGACGCGCTGCCTGCCAGGGGTCTCCTGCAGCCAGCCCCTGAAGCGGTCCCTGTCCCTAGGTGGTCTGACCTGGTGTCCCTCTCCTCCCGCAGAAGGAAGGTCACGCCCACACCCCTTGAGATGGATCGCGTGA